GGCTTGTTGTGAAATTGGTTTTTTAATGCCGCCAGTCAAGAACATAAAAAGTACTGACTGATTAATTTTGATTGGCGGCAGTGAAAAAACATATTTCAGCGTKCAGCTTTTAGCTTGTAAATACTACCCAGTTTGCAGAATATCAAAAACTGCAGTAAAGACTGCAACACTCACAGTTATTGTGGCRATAGTTGCAAGACGGGAGCCATACAGACGCATCCAGAATTCCTGGTACCTTCTACGGAACACTCTGAGTCTTTCTTTCTTGGCTTGGTAGTATTCATTGATATCCAGACCATATGAAAATACTTGAGGAAGACTCTGTTATACAAACATAGTATAAACTATCAGGTTACTCAAATATTATTTACTCAAATTATATATTAAAGAGATTTGTTATTTATACAATTCATGATTACATATCACGTGATKGCAGCCATGTTAGATGGCAGGAACAATACAATTGTTTTACAAAGAAAGAATTGAATAGACCTTCTCGGCTCTTGAGTGCTCAAGCGTAATGTTGTCCCATTTCAGACCACGTGTCATTCCCTTGAGAATAATATTCTTTGCTTGAGTTGTATCCATATTCATGTGTCTTCTCATGTGCAACCGAGCACAAACCTTAAACAAAGAAATGATACTCTAGGGAATGACATGTGGTCTGAAATGGGAAATCATTACGTCAGAGCCGAGGAGGTCTATTCCCAAGCACAAAGAGATGTTATTGTTCTGCCATCTAACCAGAGTTAGTCCAAGCTGGATTATGGCGCCGGCACGTGATGGTGCAAAACCTCTATTCTGAAATAAAATTCTGAAGCATTGCAAAAAAGAAAATTTTTGAAATTAAGTTGAGGTTTCAACATTGCATTTAGGTATCAAGTTACTGTATTTGTAACAACTCTTTCTGAACCAGAAGGAGAAGTTGGATTCCAGGTAGGTCAAGCAATGCTTAGCTATTGATACCAGTCTTTTGTGTTGATTTTGTAAGATAGTTAATAATTAATTAATCACCATCAGTATATCCTATAAATTTTCAAGAAAATTTGTTGGAGCCAAAAGTGACAGGGGGAGGGGAGGGTGGTTTTCAGTTTTGCAACCATTCAAATACAATTGCAAACCCAGTCTTGTAAAATTTCCAGCCAAACTGTTTATGAATTATTAATGATCACAGAAGGTCGATATCTACAAAATAATGATGCTGAGTTCTTATATTGACAAAACAAAACAAAAAAAACCCAGACACACCAAGAAAAGAAAAAAGGAACTTAAATCTATTTTTTTGGGGAAAAGGATAATTCTAAAGTGACGAAAAATTTGAATATTATTCCTAATGGGTTACGATGATAATTTGTCAGAAAAAGTTATTTGAAGAAATATCCTTACAGATCCGATGATTACGCCACGACAATGACGGTTATTCTCCARATCCTCCAAAGCCAGGCAAAACTCCTCTAGGAACTCAAGGTTCCAAGAATTTGATGGTTCTCTGTGCATTGTGAGCTCAGCAACACCATTATCCTTCTGTTCCACTGTAATACTCTTGTGGCGAACTTGGTTCAGGACAGAACTAACCAGTGGGGTGTGGTTTTTAGTCGCCAAACGMAACACAGATCCCATTCTCACTAAAGAAATATTTTACAACATTGTCTTTAGCCTTGGACCCCTAATAAATCTATCTTTGGTGCACGACTCAAGCCTAATGAGGGTAGTAATTGATAGCGTGACAATAAACGAACCATGTACGTTTAATCTTAACATCTTAATGTTTCACACCTAAGGTGTCAAAATACAATAAAGGCATCTGAAAAACACTTGCTTTGCAATTTAGTTAAGAAAAGAACAGTAATCTTAAATACCTGGCCCCAGTCTTGTAAGTCGAGCACACAGAGCAGCCATGTTGCGATGTGTATTCTGTGAAACAAAGACTAGCTTCCAAGGAAAGCCAGTTAAATGCAGCGTGTGAGATAATTATCGATACACTAAGCAGGCTTACCGAAGACTTTGAAAAACCAAAGAAAATTCGACAGAATGAAGTGTATACTAGTAGAATCTACTCTTGAGGAAGGATGAATTACCTTTTCGTCTGAAGCGAAGATATTCAGGATCCTCACCTCGTTTTCGAGTGTGTCTAAGCTAGTTACCAAATGTCACGCAAAAAGAACAGGAAGCCCAAAGGCGCTTAAAACGTCCTTGTCAAAGATATTAAACTCTGGATCTCATAARGAATGTCATCTTTGGGTTGCTAAAGCCCAACTAGAAAACGTCCCAGTTTATTTACGCTTTCTTTAATTGTAGTAATGTAATCAGTGTTTTGTAATATATTTAAATCTAAATCATTGTGCGAAATAAATTGAGTTGAGTTGCGCTGATAGTCAAATGCCGGGCAAATTCAAATGCCAAAAATRCACTTAATTTATTAAATTTTATAAGAAAGAAAAAGGGAGTGCACGGGTCGTTGTCTCATAGACCTATTTATTATATAGTTACGAAAGTACGTGCGTGCTGATTGGTAGAAAACTGTGCTTTATTAGAATAAGGGAGTGAATAAGGAGTAAACTGGTCGKTATTTCATAGACCTATTTATTATGTTAGGTTATTATTACGCGCGCGCTGATTGATCGAAACCTATGCTKTATTGATTAGTGAAGGGACCGTMTTTCTTTTTGCGTAAATACCGAAATGAAATTAGTGACTATAAGAAATAACGAACAAAGCAGCTTTTYCCGTGGTCCATTCAGTAGTAAAGCACTTAGGAAGCGCCAGCTCGTGCTCCTCCTTRCGAGGCTTTAGTGCTTACGTCTTTTCCTGCGTGCTTTATTACAGAACGGAGCACGGAAAAAGCTGTTTTATTTGTTAAATGAGGGCCTTCTGTTCTTTAATTCACGCTGAACGTGAAGGAGGGGTGTGGATGGGGGTAACTGATTGTCAGTTAAGGTAATTCCCTTGTTTTGCACTGCGCATTTTTCTGCGCATGCAACTAAAAGCATGGGACTAACAAAGTTTAGGCTTTTTTATTTGGGAAACTAAATAAAAAACATGTTCAAAACCAATTTTTACTTTTTTCTCCTYTTTGAGCAGAGAAATTGCGATTTTTATGTGACTCGCACCAGTCTCCACTCGGAAAAGTGTCAGTTTTCGACTATTTTGAGATGTTTTTTTCCAAGATAAATCAAAAACGAGAATGGTGACCCCCTTATTTATTTCAGATTCTTGATAAATGCGAGTTTATTGGATAGATTTTGAAATATTTTGATGAGCAGTTTTTGGACGTTCTTAGAGGCGCACATACCTATTTTTCACTAATAGTTCAGGAATCATAGTCATCCAATGACTTTGATGGATTCAATARTATACATTATCTAGTRAACTTCGAGTTATAAGTACGTTTTGTTAGATGAAAGTACTTTTAACTGTGAATAAAGGTTCTTGATTACAGCTTCCGGTTGCGACCGTATTTCACTATAAAACCCATAAATYGACAYATTTGGAGAGCATCTAGCGAAAAAACGAGAATGGTGACCCCATCTTTTYATTGCAGTTTTTAAATGTCCATAACATATTTAATGACCATGCAAAGTTTCAGGACAGAGTTATTGGCAAAATTTCTTTCAAGGKAAYTACCTTAACTACTATATTTTAGGCCAATAGACCTATCMCGAATTCGCTTGACTGACCACGAAACAATGGTTTGAAGTCGAAACTGAACTTGAATCTTTTATATTCATCAAGTTYGATTCAACCTCGACTTAAACCATTGTTTCGTGACCAGYCAAGTGAATTCGGGAAAGGTCTATTGTCAGTCAACCGTTAATRATTTTACGAGCGCTCGTGACCATATCATTAACCAAGAAATTATGAAATATCATGTAGTCAGCAACTGTTAACTACTAGTTTTAGGTTATTATATTTGTCAGCTAACTACTAATTTTAGGCCAATTGTCAGTAAACTGTTAAACCCCATCCACATCTTTGAAGAAGGAATCAGTTGACTCCTGTTGTACAAATTCCAATCTCATGTAGCATTGACCCAACAGCTAGGGTTAAACTATAGCATAAATTGGAAAAGATTTTTGTTAGGGATTATCGTTGTGGTCAGATAAAGCGCCCCAACTAGCCCAACTGACCTCCTCATTCATGGTCCAGTTAACTGCACTGTTTTTAGGCGTTTTGTCGGAAGCTAAAGTTCAGCAGACCATGCCATTCAAAAGATTTACCAATTAGTTAATGTCTTTGCCTATTGATCAATTCACTGTCGATACAGAGTATTTAAAAAAAATTGTTGAAAGTTCTAAAGTTTGGGGAAATTCTCCATATTATTGTGACCTAGCATTACGGGCTTGTATGCAAAGGTTACATATCAGCAAAGACTGTATACGYATGTCTGATTTAGACATGTCCAAGTAAAAATTTCAAAAAGCATTCATGGCTCAGTCCCACATGGACTAACTCGACAATGCAGCCCTTAATCGCAAGAGGAGGTAAGACAAAATTCACTGGTCATAGTAAGGGGTTAATCTTACACGGTTTAGGGGCCGACTAACCTCTCCCTTAGGCTTCGGCCGAGCTCCCTGATCAGTCATTATGGATAGCGGTGTCGGGGTCGAAATCTCCGGCATAGCCGTAAATGCTTCGYGCTGCCATACTGCGCTTCGGCACTAGGTCTGGAGGTATGGTCCCCAAATTCTTAAAACARCAAAAACAAAAGTTCTTCTACGAAATTATCCTTGTAAACAAGAATCGGTTAACTTRTTCAGTATAAACACTATTAGTCTACACCCGGGCGGGAAATGACGTACAAATCGATTGCGTTGGCTCTATAATGATTTGATGAGCTTCTAGTTTAAAAGTGTTAGACCACGAAGACAGAAAGTGTCGGTTCTAAAATGAAAACAATGGCGCTAACTCGCTTTTTCAACCCATTTTCAACTGACCTTATTTCAAAATATTTTGTATCCATTTATTTGACCGCTAGGTTTAGACTAAAGCAATTACAATTGACTTCAATTGACTAGTACATTAACCCTGCAAGATATATTAGGAAAGTGGAATGTTGGATTTGGCATGAGTCCTTATGATATGCCATAATGCAACTGAGGGTTTACGAAAAAAGATCRAACAAGGCAAGGACGTACGTACAATTATCATATAACCCGTACGGCCCTTCTCGCGCGCTCTAATGAAACCATTGGAAAAAGTCACGTGATGGGGGCCGGACGGCGTAAGCGGGCCGGAAAAATCCGTCTGGCCCTGCTCGAATCCGCGCGCTTTCTTTTTTTTAACTATTTTTATTTTCGTGAGGGTCATATGATAAAATGCTTATTGACTGAGTTAGGTCGGGCCGTACGGGAAAATATTTGGCTCTCGGTCATTTGTACGGACCTGGCTGCGCTCGGTCCAAATCACCTCATCGGCATCACCTCGAGCCAAATATTTTCCCGTACGGCCCGACCTAACTCAGTCAATAAGTACATATTCTTAAAAAATAAAGGCCGAGGCTGAGGGCGCATCGGATTTAATAACAAACCCCGATCTGTGATTCTGGAACGATGGATTTTGATTTCATATTGATTTGATATGTCCSCGGGACAGGCCTATATTTTTGAAATATAGACCTGTTACTGGACATTATTGAGGATATAATTATACAGCCGCATTACACAATGGGATTGGGGTGTGGCTGGTTATTAAACTGGTCTCTAAACACACTTTAGTAGACCCTAATTCCATCCTTTTCTTTTCTATTTGACTATTACACGTTGACTAATAATTATTTCACTGGTTAAATGCCTTCACTCTATGACAGACTGACCCTACAGACGATCAATCTTTAGTGTAACAGGCAAATAAGGATCCTAGAGGAACTCGGAACCTGCATATTTTGAACAACTTCTAGTATGTGACGTCAAAGCACAGCTCCAATTGGAGGACAAAACAAAAGGATTTCGATCTCATGAAAATTGGAAATCATCGTTATGTCCTCCAAAATGAGCTGCATTCCAATGTGCTGCYGGGAGTCTATTTGTAGTTTCGAGTTAAAATCCCTTTTCTTGAGGAAGGTTTTTTATTGGCCAGGAGGGGCGAACTTTTTAATGGGGGGAGGGGGAGGCAAGGCTTAGGGATTTGCAGTAAACTCTTTTTTAAATAAAAAACGTACCTTCCCGTACGAGCGTACAAAGAAACAATTCACTGGTTACAGCAAGGGGTTAATCATACACGGTTTAGGGGCCGACTAACCTCTCCCTTAGGCCTTCCCGTACGAACGTACAAAGAAACAATAAAATAGAAACACAACATACGTAAGGCACGTGGCGGATACCAATTTATTTACAAATATCTTGAAATTTTACATACCAGTAAAAAAAGAGAAAAGAGTCTGATTAATAACCCGACAAGACCAGGTTTCCACAAAACCTTACAATATACATGCTAGACTTATATTGGTAAAATATYGTTTTTTCTGGGTACACCATACATCTCAGGTATGCAATAGGAAATACCCCTGTGACAGACTGACACACTCTGCAACTGTACACGTTCGTCTGTAACATCACTATCAATGCTGTAATGGGGACAATAAGTTTATACGTTCTATAATTACAAGGTGTGTCCTGGGCCTAGTTGCATAAAGCTCTCTTAAGATAAAAAAGCTTAAAAACGCTTGTAAGTATTGTCTTAGGACAATGGCCTATTGTTTTGGAACAATACTTACGGATGCTCTTTATGCAACTGGGCCCAGGCCCTTAACTAAAATAAATAGCAGGCTGCTTCTTACAACATGCCAGTGAACTTATGTTCATACTCTAAGTCGGTAATAGATATAAATTAATCATAAATTACGTACGGTACCAACGAGTGATATCAAAACGTGCCTACACCTTATCAGGGTTTACAAGTTCAGTATGGCCACTTTCCACATTAATGCGTTTTGAAAACGCCGGCTCCGTCTTCGTCTCGCCAAAAATGCGTCGCAAGCTTCGTGTACACACGAAGTTGTAGTTTAGTTTAGTTTAATTTAGCCACAGGTAGCCCAAGCTTGGTTTCTGTGGTGGGGGAAAAATCCTTAAAAGGGGCTAAATTTAAAAAATAACCACACAGAGCGAATGAAGTGTTATTTCTCAATGATCAGGTAAAATTTCGAGTTTTATTTCACGTTTCAATGATTTTATTGAAATTTTTGATGAATCCCCATACATTTCCTTATAACATGACACCACAGAAACCAAGCTTGAGCTACCTGTGGTTTAGCGGTTTAACACAGCACCAAAAAAAACTACAGTTTTCATAGCGCTTTCGTTGTCTCTACTCTGGGAATAGTTTTCAAATGTAGGCGTTTTCGATGACAATGATCAGCGTTTTCGATCGTTTTAGTGTGGAACAAGGCCAAAACGCATCGAAAAGTATGCGTTTTTATAACGAAAATGCATTAGTGTGGAAGGGGGCTAGTAGTTCGTTGTCTACGCTAGACTAGTCTCATAAATAGACTTTTTAATAGCCGTGCTTCATATGTAACGGTGTTCTTGCCAGGATGAAGACGTTCTTCTTCTAGAGGCTGTTCGATTACTGCAGGAACATTCTTTCCATATGCTGTAAATGAATGAAAAAATAATATTCAGCAAACAAATACTGGGGAAATTATAATACAGGGATACTCAGGATTTTAGAATAACTGACAACTAGAGCCGCGTTTGTATTTGAAGCTACGAAAGCTTAGATCCTCAAGTAGGGGCTCGGAAGAACAAGGTAAAATGATTCTGGGGTAGAAACGAATTTTGAATATTCTTTATTCTACGAACAAGGTGTTTGTTTCTTGAAGTTTACTAGAGTACAAACACTAAAAGTGTGCAACACTTTGCACTATTTAGTAGTAAATAGTGCTAATTAAACAATAGAAAACAATAGGATTAGCATAAATTAGCAGTATTTAGTGGTATTTATGTTACACACTAATAGCGTTTGTACTCTAGTCTTCAATTTTATTTCAAACAATTCTTTATTCTTTTAGGAAAACTGAAATATTTTCTATTTCCTTATTTTTTAGACAAAAATTTCRATATTCCTTAGCTTTTTGGCGACATTCTTTATTCAATATTCCGCTTTTACCCCCGAACTGATGGCGGCCACACCCCTTTCGGGTTATAAGTTCATGTTCTAGAGGAATACGATGCATATATTGTATAGTAGTGTATTGTTTTATATTGTATGCATTGTCTTGTCTTCTGTTGTCGTTATATTGTTTCTAGAACATGAACGAACTACCCTTTTTTTTCTCGAACCCCCTTTCAAACTGCATTAAATACCCATAGAACGAAACCAGATGGGAAATGGAAAAAAGAAAAATGGGAAGAAAGGGAGGAGAATGGAGGAAAAACTAAATGGAAACCAGGCAGTGGAAAAGATAAGCCTTACTTTCGCAGTGCTCCAGAAACTGGATTATTTCTTGCACCACGCTGTCACGCAACATTATCATGTGTTTAGCCTAAAAAAAAAAGGTTTTGATGAGAAACGGTACATTAAAATATGGTAGAATAACCTAGTAACAACGACACAGACTAAAGAACGACCCTAAAATAGGTCTGATCGCTATAATACAAATAGACCATATTCGTGGGATTCTACCAGCTCTCACCAGCTCACTAGATACACCGAGCTGACGAGGCCCAATACAGTTCGAAACAGCTGTCCACGGTTTCTAGTTGGGCTGACTCATTTTTTGCGCGACTTGAAGTTGTGAAAGGCCCATTGGCCCTCTTCTTCAGTCGTTTCATACAAGCCTCGTAATTTACCTATTATGTTCTTATATGATTTCCGAGCTCATCCCACACGGCTTACCGCCTCATCTCTCATTTTCGAATTCGTACATTACCGGTGTATTCCTTGATTACAGGCTCATTAACTCAGGGTTAGCCTCATTTTAGCGTCAATATATTCACAAATACCAACGGACACTTTGACATTCCACGTACCTTCAATGGAACACGTGAATATTCTGCACAAAATCGAGGGTAACCCTGAGCGACAGAGAACTCGAAACTGAAGTATTAGATAGTATAATATAGAAGTGATTGTCAGTGTATTACGTTACCATGTTTTCAATCAATGAGAGGAAACATCTTTTGGAGTAAAACCAAGTGTCTGTTCCAAGCTGAAAAAAAAAAAAAAAAAAAAAAAAAAAAGAAATAAAATCAGAAAGCCGAAAAAATAACAATTGGGATTTTTTCCAATTTTTGAGGAAAGTCTTCCTACTAAAATACATTTACGACCACTCAATGTATTCTAAAGGGGCATCACTAGAAAAACAAAATTATTGATCACATGATCAAAAAGTATAGAGAATTTGCACATGACGTTAAGGCAGCCGTGCAAGGAGGGAGGATAGAATGAATCTGGTCTAATCTGGTTTGATTACATGCGATAGAATTCAGTTTCCATGCCCCGGAAAAAAAGACTTTTTCCGGCGAGGCTGCCATCACTTTATGGTGCAAACTCTCTATAGGGACGGACCATTACATATGGGG